TTTCTTCCAATTTTTTGTTTGTTCTTCTTCCATTTCTTTAAGGGATTTTCTTATATCATCTTTGAAGGTCTCTGTCATTTTTAGGAAGTTATTTTTTAAGTTGTTCTCTTCTGCTTCCTCTGCTTTGGTGTGTTCAGGTACAGTTGGTGTAGATTCCCTACATTCTGGTGGTGTCCTACTGGTCCTTCTATTGTTGGGTGTTTTATGTATTTCCATTTTCCCATCACTTCTTCCAGTGGGTGCAGGTGGAGTCTCTCTCTTTCTACCCTGCTTTCCCGGTGGATGTAGGTGGGTCAGGAGTTCAATGTCTGTAATTATGCATGATCAAAACTCTCTTGGAGGTCTCTCCTCTGCTAGAGGGCAGGTGATGGAGTCTAAAGATGAGGGTAGTGTGGCCTCAAGGCGGCCCTGCATAGATAGACTGGTTCAGTGTGCTCAATCAGATGTAGGAAGTTCCACGGATATGGAGGGGTTGTTGGACCCACACTCTGGCCTAATGCTCACCCAGAGCAGGAGGCCAGCAGGACAAAGGGTGGCTGTGGCTGGATTTATGTTGAGGTCTTTGATCCATTTGGACTTAAGTTTTGTGCATTGTGATAGATGAGAATCTATCTACAATCTTCTACATGTCAGCATCCAGTTATGCCAGCATTATTTATTGAAGATGATTTTCTCCCCATTGTATAATTTTAGATTCTTTGTAAAAAAAAAAAAAACCCAGGTGTTCATAGGTGTGTGGATTAATATCCAGGTCACCACCTCTCATGGTGGGTGCAGGTGGTCCCAAGACTCTAGTGGTGGCAGATGCTGGATGATTTGGTGTGACCCCAAGTCCCTGGGGGATTTGGTGGGCAGGCCATACTTTTAATGCTATTGTGAGTTTATATCTGCATCATTCTCATTGTTACTGGAGGACACCTTTTTCTTGAAATTATCCACTACCCCTGGATCCTATAATCTTCCCTTATCCACTTCATCACATATCCCTGAGCTTCAAGGTGAGATGCTTGGTACTATGAACAGTAGCCAGTAGGTATGAAGCTTCTGGTTGGGCACCAGCTAGATTTCTCCATGTTCAAGTCTTTTAAATACCTGTGCTCTTTATCAACAGGATTTATCAGGTTGTAGAGAATAACAAATAAGATTGGAAACAGCCTCTAACATTTGAGGGCCTCATTAAACCTTTTGCCATTAATTCAAAAGGATGTATCCCATTCTGGTACAATGGGTTTTACTTAGTAGTATATGATGTCTATTTGGGCCATTGTCTTCCCCATTATGTAGTAATTCCACTTAAATTTCTCTATGTATATTATTTGACAAAACTTCTACAGAAGTAATTTCTTATATGGTTTTTCAAAAGGCTTTTTAGCACTGGTATGTTACTTCTCTCTCTTTTTTAAACAAAATCTTTCAGGTAGTATTGATACCAGTGTATTTCCAAGCTTCTTAGACTGCAGTTATTAAACTAATAGGCCTGGGAAAATACTGAACTATACACTTCCAAATGCTAAAGATGATTGGTACATCAATAGCTATATTGCAAAAGAGAAATATGGTTCTAGCCAAAACCTCAGCCAGAACTCTCTCTACCCCCTTTCACTGAATAAGTTCCCTAGTATCAGCAAGAATAAAGAAATACTGATTCAATGACCTCAACTTTGTATGTTGCCAATACTCCCTTGCTTTGAGAACCATCTTATTAGAAAGGGGTTGATGGTTTTGCCATTGAAATATATCTCCTGATGGATTTAACATGATTTAGGTTTGTAGTATGTCTAGCTGTTGCTTTTCCATTGCTGCATATGGCATCTAGCACTTCCTATGATATATAGAAGATCCTATCATAACTCTTCTCTTCAGGGTATATTTTCATCCACAGCTCCCAGTTTATTATTTTTTATTTTAAAACAATCTTTTCTCATTTTATATACCAATCCAAGTTCCCACTTCCTCCCCTTCTCCTGCTCCCCACACCTCCCCTTACCCCACCCCATCCACTCCTCGGAGAGAGTGAGGCTTTCTATAGGGAGTCAACAAAGTCTGGCACATCACATTGAGGCAGGACCAAGCCCCTCTCCCCCATAACTAGGTAGAGCAAAGAATCCTTCTGTAGAGAATGGGCTCCAAAAAAACAGTTCAAGCACTAGGGATACATTCTGGTGCCAATGCCAGTGGCCCCACAGACTGTGCAAGCCACACAAGTGTCACCCACATTCAGAGGGCCTAGTTTGGTCTTATGCAGGTTCTGCTGCTATCAGTCCAGAGTTGTTGAGCTCACATTAGCTCAGGTCAGCTGTTTCTGTGAGTATCCCCAAAATGGTCTTGTCCCCCTTGCTCACATTATCACTCTGGGAGCTTGGCCCAGTGCTTAGCTGTGGATCTCTGCATCTGCTTCCATCAGTTGCTGGTGAAGTTTCTGCGATGATAATAATACAGGTAGTCATCAATCTGATTAGAGGGGAAGGCCAGTTCAGGCACCCTCTCCACTAATGCTTAGGGTCTTAGCTGGGGTCATCCTTGTGGATCCCTGGGAATTTCCCTAGTCCCACAGGGCTCCTAATAACCTACCACATAAATGGATGTCAGTGCCTTGAGGGACACAACTGTTGAGTCAACATTGAAATAATTTGGTTTGAACAAAATACTCCTGTACTTTGATGAGTGAATTCCTTCTTTGTTAAGGCTATAGAAGAGATGACAACTTAATCAAGGCAAGGTTTGCAATTGGTGAGTGTTCCAATAGTTTCAGAAACATTCATAACTGCTTCAAATCTCTTGGCAAAGGCATTCAGGAAATTTCCTCAGTGTCATGATCAGGAAAAAGTGCATTTTCTTTCAAGTAAGATCCACTACAATCAGCATCATTCAAATCCCTTCATAATGTAACCCAGAAGAGTCACCTACTAAACAGTATCTAAGAAGATGATTTCTCTAGCTTCAAGTTTATACTATACAAGAGAGTAGTACTTCTATTCCATAATTGTAAAATTCCATAGCCTGATACAATAAATAGAACAAATAGAATACAATAAATACAATAAATAGAAATTATGATTGACTAAGAGGGGAAGAGCTGTCCTTGTCCCTCACTTGCTACAGAACTCAGGAGAGTGGCCCCTGTACCTTACCTGGGCAATACAGTAGAGCTGGCCCTGATGGTGTATGTGTGGGTGAGCTGACCCTGAGGATGAGCAGACACTGAGGGTATGAAATCAGAACTGGAACCACCTATTGCTCATTGTTGCAAGGGGTGAATTAGCCAGAGCAATGCTGGAGAGCTCACCCTGGTGGTGAACACAGGGAAGAACTGGCAGGCTGACCAACCCGGCAACTACCCAGGCCCAGAACCAGGGTTATGAGTTGGCCCACCTCAATGTCGACCCAATCTATGATCTGCTGGAACACACGAAGGGGCATATCCTGAAGATACAAAGTTGCAGGATCTCCATGACGCAGAACAACTGGATATCCAAGCGGAGCCCCAGTAAGGGCCCAGCAGAAACCAGAGGCCTCAAACCAGACCAATGACACTTTGCAATGAACACCTGCAAGTAAAGATATATAGACTAAAGGGTACATTGTGTGACACACTTTGTCACACTACAGTTTTTGTGATGGGATTTCTTTCTTTGTTTTCTCTTAAATTTTATTTTATTTTATTTTTTGGGGGAAATTTCAAGGGGAGAGGGTAGATATGAAGGGACAGGAAGATGAATGGGATGGAGATGCATGATGTGAAAGACACAAATAACTAAAAAGAAAGTTAAGAAGAAACGACTGACAGATAAGCAAGATAAGAGGAAAGTGCTACTGTAGGTCTTATAGTTTTTACACCAATAAGAAATTCACACTTATCACCAGACAATGGTAGCCTTTAATCTCAGCACTTGGGAGGCAGAGGCAGGCAGATTTCTGTGAGTTCAAGGTCAGGCTGGTCTAAAAAGTGAGTTTCAGGACAGCTATGGCAGTTACATGGAGAAACTTTGTCTTGAAAAAATAAAAAAGAAATTAATACTCCACCTTTACAAAAAATGAAAAGAGAAAGAACTACAAATTATAATTTTTTATGAAATTGTAATATATTATGGGGAATTGGGTAGCAATAAAATTGAAGGTCTTGCCCAATACAAGGTGTAAACTGAAAGAATATATACAAGTCTAACAAAGGGATACATTGTGAAGAAATGACTAATTAAGGGAGGGATAATTCAATGTTTGGAGGCAAATACAGAATTGGCATTAAAGTCATATGGCCTGGTTACATCTGGAAATTTGACATATTTCATAATAAATTAAAGAGTGGTTGAATGCAATTAAATTTTAATTTGTGGATCTGATTATCTGTAGCATGAACTCTAATTGGTCTTAATAAAAAGCTGGAGACAGATTTTGTGGTACATGCTGAAAGATCAGAGAAGTAAAGGAGCAGCCATTAAAGTTCTCACCTCTACAAAATCCTCAGACTGAAAAGGACATATAAGGCTCTTGAATCTCCTTGTTGCCAGTTATTAATAGTTGAAATGAATCTTTATTAAAATTAAAATTTCAAATTATGAAAGTATGTGGAAAAATGTATAAATTTGCATTTCATAAGCAGATTTATTCAGTTACAGAAAAGCAATATAGATATAAAAAACTCAAAAACACAAAAATGTTTGGAAATGAAAAATCTTATTGCTACAAAATAAAATAAGCCCAAATTATTCAAATAAAGAAATGATAAGCCATGTTATCAAACATAAAATTACAAACTATATGTAACTGTTAAAAAAATGGTATGTAACAGGCCTCAAATTCCATCTAATTTGAGAAATACATTAGCTAAGTTTTTTTTTTTCCCTTGAGACAGGGTTTCTCTATTTAACAGTCTTGGCTATCCAGGAACTTTCTCTGTAGACAAAGCTGGTCTAGAATTCACATTCACAGAGATCTGCCTGTTTCTGCCTCCTGAGTGCTGGGATTAATGATGTGTGCCACCCCACCCTGTCCCACATAAGCTAAGTTTTGAGAAGGATTTTTCTCCTAGAATGTATTTTGCTTTTGATGTTATGAACCGAATTTCTATCTGGCCTTAATAATATGATGTAGCACTTAGGTGCAAAGATGAGGCACAGGATCCCTGCACTGGAAGCCAAGATAGAGAAGACTTCCATAGATACCATGACCCTCCCCTTGGTGCTGTGGTAGATGGGCAGGAAAGTGACCCAGACACTGCAGAACACTAGCATGCTGAAAGACAGAAACTTGGCTTCATTGAATGTGTTAGGTAGATTCCTGGATAAGAAAGCCATAAGATAGCTCCCTAGGGCCAGGATTCCCAGATATCCCAGGATGCAATGGAAGGCAATAGATGAGCCCTTATTACACATGATGATGATGTGTCTATGTTCAGAGTGAGTATCTCTTTCAACAAAGGGTGGGTAAGTTGACAGCCATATTCCAGAAAGAACAAGTTGGATAAGGGTGCAGAGGGGAATGATGATGTTAGAAATCCTTGATATCATTAACCACCTCATCATACGTCCCAGAGCAGTGACCTTGAAGGCCATAACTACAGTAATAGTTTTAGCCAACACAGTAGAAAGAGCCACAGTGAACAGAAATCCAAATGCATTCTGCTGCAGGATACAGATGGCTGTGTTGGGAATGCCAATGAAGAGCAAGGGGCAGAGAAAACAGAAGGTGAGAGTGATGAGCAGGATGTAACTGAGAGATCTATTATTGGCCTTGACAATGGGAGTGTCTCTGTGCTTCAGAAAGACCCCAAGAACAACAGCTGTGAGTGAGGAGAAGCCCAGGGACATGAAAGTGAGTGTCTTCCCCAAGAGGTCATCATAGGTCAGGGTGGTCACAGACTTAGGTAGGCAGTGTTTCCTCTCTGTGTTTGCATAGTGACCTTCTGGACACTTCCCACATCGATCCATATCTGGAAGGAATGAAATTGATCATGAGTGCATCCTCGTGTCCTCCTTTTACCCCAAACCAGTCCCTAGCACTAGATCATTGCACTCTGATTGCACTTGTTTCAAGTACAAGTAAAGAAGCATTTCCCAGAGAATAATTCTAAACTCACCCACCCTTCTAGAATTTCATGGTGCCACAAGTTAGTCAGCCCTGATGCTTCTCTTTCTTTTGTTATCCATATGGTTCCTTCACATTGAGTGACACTCTTGTATCTGTTTTGAAGTCATTTGAATACTGATAATGTTGCACGAATGTAGATTGGCTCTGACATTGCCTGTTTATAAAATACATCTGTATGCTTAAGAGGACATGTGATTTCAGTACAACAGAGGGTGTCCTCTGAAATCCCTTTTATGATGTTCTCAAATAGAAGAACCTATAATCACAAAATCCATGTGTTCTCCAATTTTGCCCATTCACTTTTCAATTTGGTGATAATGTAAATACTTCTGTAATGCATTCCTTCCCAAAACGTTTCGACTTTATTATTGCTGATAAATATTTTTTGGGGGGGAGAGGAAAGGGTTTATTTGGCTCACATTTCTTTTTATTTATTTACTTTTATTTATTTTATTTTATATGTCGATCCCAGTTCCCTCTCCCTCTCTCCCTTCCTCCCTCCCTCTTATCTTCTCTGCCCTCTCAATGCACCCTGACCACCCTCCACTCCCATCCCTCCACCCCAATTCCACATCACATGTAGGGCAATGCCACCAAGGTGGGGTCAGGCTGATCTGTCAAGTCATGTGAAGTAGGGACTAGGACTTCTCTCCTGTCTCTAGGTTAAGGCAGTTATCCCTCCATGGGGGAATGTGTTCTCAAGGTCCTTTTGTGCACCAGGAATACATCCTGGCTCCACTGTCTGAGGTCCCTTAGACTGCTCAGTCCTTCTGGCTGAGACCCATATTCAGGGCGATCTGAGTCAGTCCCATGCTGGCTTCCCAGCTATCAGTCTAGTGGTTGTTAGCTCCTCCTTGTTCAGGTAAGCTTTCTCTATGTGTTTCTGCAACCTGGTCTTGTCCTCTCCATCTGCATCTGGGTTCTAGTTAGACTAAGTGTTTATGTATGGGTGTTTGCTCCTGTTTCCAACAGGTATTAGATGAGGGCTCCATGGGTAAGTTAGTTGTTGATCTCACTCTCCAGGAAGGGCATTTATGGTAGCCTTTCCACGGAAACTCAAATTGTTAGTTGGTGGCAGTCTTGTAGGTCTCTAGACCTTTCTTTAGGTTCAGTTTTCTCTTCAAACCAATATTGGCTCCCTCTTTTATGTTCTCTCTCTCTCTCTCTCTCTCTCTCTCTCTCTCTCTCTCTCTCTCTCTCTCCCTAACTCCTTCCCTAACTCAATCTTCCTAATTGCACATGTTTTCCTCTCCTCCCTTCTCTTTCTCCTATTTCTCACTCCATTCACTGCCCCCCCCACTCCACATAATAAGAAACTTATTCTTTTATTAGCCAAGTTTCTCTTTGTGAATACTGTTTATTTTTCCTGCTGCATTCTTCAGCTCTCCCTCCCACCTTCATTTTCAGTTGTAATTTTACATCGTACCCTCATTTCTCTCACCACTGTTACTCCCACTCCTCTGTCTTTAGCATTTTCTTTGCTGCCTGTCCTAGCATATGGTTGGACCCTAATTCTGGGGCCCTGATGGGCCGATGGGAGAGCCCCATGACACAAACACCAAAACCAGGAGATGCAACAAGCGAGAGGAGTTAATGAACGAGTGCACTCGGGTGACAGCAATCTCGGGGAAAGCTGCACCCCCCAAAAGGGTTTAGGCTCCTTTTTATAGAGATTCTTCAGTTTTTACATACATTAAGTCACAGCATGTGTTTATTACATACTGAGCACATGATCTTGACTATATGTGTGTGTGTGTGTGTATGTATGTGTGTATTATACACACATATATAATACACACATATCAGAATTTCTTTGATGTGCTATATAATTAGAAATATGCTGGCCATCATGAGTTTAGAGATGCCAAAGGTGAAAGCCTTAAATCAGTTCTTGTCTCTTAAATTGGTGTATGTTTAAGACGGTGGTGAAATGAATATTACTAGCATACTTCTGATGTGGGGAGAGAGTGATTTGTTTTTTTTAATCAGCCATGCCTGCAGTAGATCAAGAACATAAGGCAAATGTGAAGTTTAGTGTCAAGAGTATGCAATTTAGGTTTTTGATTTTTCAAGACAGGGTTTCTCTGTGTAACTTTGGAGCCTGTTCTGGCACTTGCTCTGTAGACCAGGATGGGCTCCAAGTCACAGCGATCTGCCTGCCTCTGCCTCCCAAGTGCTGGGATTAAAGACATGTGCTGCCATCATCTGACAAGAGTATGTAATTTTAGTGGAAACAAAATGTACTGTGACCTGTGATTTAGTAGCAGCTGGAAGGAAGTTCCCTTACCGATGTTTCCCCCTTGTTTACACAATGAATAAGTGGACGGGTGGGGGATATTCTCTGTATGATTGATATTTACCAGATTCATTGGAAATTTCATTCTCTAGGCAAGGAATGCAGTCAAAGCAACAGGCAGGCTTGCCCTCCTGGGTCTTTTTCCTGAATCCAGGAGGGCAGCTCTCACTGCACACAGATTGAGGAATCTGAGAAAAATAAAATGAATGTTAGCAATTGCTTCAGTTTTTAAATGGAATCTCCAAAAGAGTGTTTTAAAATTCAAAATCACTAATATGGTAACACTTGCATATGAAAATTGTATTGTTACTGCTAGGGTATTACAATCATATGCCCATGTGGTCAATGCCCTGAGACATGAATTTGTTGGAAAATTGTAGAAACATTATAAGGTGAGGACAAAAAGGAAAATGTTTAGCACATCCAGGAAGGGATTATAGAGATTTCAAACCTCTGTTGTCAATGGAGTTTCTGTCTTTGAAAGTAAATAGATTCTTTTCAATGGTGAGTGTTAACATTGTCAGGATGTAAAATCACCATGGAAAAGAAATCTTTGATTATTAGTGTGACTGATTTTGTAAATTTAGGTTACTTGAGGTAGGAAGACCTTCCCTAAAAGTGGGGCACAAAAAATAAAATGACTGGCCTTGGTTCCTGAAAAAAAAATGCAAAGGAGGAAAGAATGTGAAGGCAGCAAAGGGAAGTCTCTGCTTCTTGACTTCTGATGCAAAGTGACCAGCTGCCTCCATCTCCTACAATCAAGGTTTCCTGAAGTGACAGCATATACTCTCAAACTGTGAGACAAGCTGAAAGGGTTAAAAATCAAATTAGGCAAGCCTCCTTGACCTCTGAGTTACCCAGTTCCACCCTGTTCCAAGAAATTTAAAAACCAGACCCCTTTTGAAAAAAGTGAAAAGGCAGAGACATAAAAACAAAAGGCCAAATGACCATGTACTGTAACATTCCAAGTCAAGAATAGAAACAGGTTGCTTTGTAGCAACCATTAGTTAGGGTTTTCTATTGCTCTGATAAAACCCATGACTAAAATCAACTTTGGGAGAAAATGAATTAATTTTTCTTACAGCTTGTAGTATATCACTCAGGAAAGTCAGAACCAAAACTCAAAGCAGAAATGGAAGTTGGAGATGATGCAGAGGCCATGAAGAAATGCTGTTTAGCGGATTTCTCCTTATGGCTGGCTCAGCCTGCTTTCTTGTAACAACCAGGACCACCTACCCAGAGATGGCACCATTCGCAGTGAGCTAGACCCTCTCCCATCAATAATTAAAAAAAAATGTATGATAGGCTTGCTAATAGGCAAGCCTGATGGGGTATTTGACCAATTGAGATCCTTACTTCCTAATGAGTCATGTCAAGTTGACATACAACTAATAGGAGATCATACTGAAGTAGATTCTGTTATAGAATAAATGAACAAATGTGAAAATAATTAGGTGTACTCAGGAGAATCAAGTAACAAGTGATTCTTTATATGTTTTCAATTCTTTATATTGATAGCCATTATGTGTATATAGATGGGCCCTGAGGGAACAATGACTCTCAGAAACTTACTATTACTTACATATACAAGGGGAAACACGAGATAAGAGTCAACCCACCACAAAGGAGACCTGACTATCCACGTGGGACCACCTGTAATTTCCACCTGCTTGGTCCCTGACCCCGCCTCCAGCCCTCTGCTGGAGTCCCAGGCCCCTCCCAGAGATCCGCCTATCTCTGCGGGTCCACTTGGAGTTCCTGCAGGCAAGATCCTTGACCCCCAAATCCGGGCCCCTGCCAAAGAACGAGGTCTCAGCTGGAGAGCGCCAGTTTCCAGTGAGATCCCACTACCCTGCAAAACCTTCTCAAGTTCCAGTCCAGCCCTCGTCCTCTTCTGCCGGCTATTGGCCAAAGAGAAGCCTCCTAGAGAGCTTGGACCACACAGAGATACAGACATTGAATCTTTGATCCACATAAGCCCATCTGGGAAGGACCATAGAGAGAGGGAAGAGACACCACCAACACCTACAGGAAGAAACTATGGGAAGAAGGCAATACAAGAGAACACCTAACAACAGAAAGACAAACATGACACCACCAGAATCTAGGGAATCTACACCAACTAGAATGGAACACAACAACAAAGCAGAGGAAGCAGAAGGGTACGACTTAAAAATCACCATCATAAAAATGATAGAGGCCCTCAAAGAAGATATGAGAAAATCCCTTAAAGAAATAGAGGAAAAAACAAACAAAAAAGTGGAAGAAATGAACAAATTCCTTAAGGAAAGTACAGAAAGCCAAGAAAAAACAATTAACCAGGTGAAGGAAACGGTTCAAGATTTGAAAACCGAAATTGAGAAAATAAAGGCAACACAAATGGAAGGAAAGCTGGAAATTGAAAAGCTGGGCAAAAAATCGGAAACCACGGACACAAGCATAACCAATAGAATTCAAGAGATGGAAGAGAGAATCTCAGGCGCAGAAGATAAACTAGAAGAAATAGATTCATCGACCAAAGAAAACCATAAATCCAACAAATCCTTAACACACAATATCCAGGAAATGTGGGACACCATGAAAAGGCCAAACCTAAGAATAATAGGCATAGAGGAAGGTGAGGAAGCCCAGCTCAAAGGTGCTGAAAACATATTCAACAAAATCATCGAGGAAAACTTTCCAAATCTGAAGAAGGACATGCCCATGAAAGTACAAGAAGCATACCGAACCCCAAATAGGCTGGACCAAAGAAAAAAGACCCCTCGACATATAATAATCAAAACACCTAGCATACAGAATAAAGAAAAAATATTAAGAGCAGCGAAGGAAAAAGGACAGGTAACATATAAAGGCAGACCTGTCAAAATTACACCTGACTTCTCCATGGAAACCCTCAAGGCCAGAAGGTCCTGGATAGATGTTCTAAAAGTATTAAGAGAACACGGATGCCAGCCTAGGCTACTATATCCAGCAAAACTCTCAGTCAATATAGATGGAGCGAACAAGATATTCAATGACAAAACCAGATTTTCCCAATATGTATCTACAAATCCAGCCCTACAGAAAGTATTGGAAGGAAAATTCCAACCCAAGGAAGGTAACTACGCCCACAAAAATGTAGGCAACAGATAATCCAACTACACCAGAAACCTAGGGTGAAGCAGAACAAATATATTCACAATACCACTGCCAACAACAAACCTAAATCAAACAAGCATCAACAATCAATGGTCCTTACTCACCCTCAACATTAATGGTCTTAACTCACCTGTAAAAAGACACAGATTAACAGAATGGATATGAAGACAGAATCCATCCTTCTGCTGCATACAAGAAACACATCTTAGCTCCAAAGATAGACATTACCTCAGGGTAAAGGGCTGGGAAAAGATTTTCCAATCAAATGGAAATAAGAAGCAAGCAGGCGTAGCTATCCTAATATCTAACAAGCTAGACTTCAAACCAAAACTAGTCAAAAGAGATGAAGACGGTCATTTCATATTCATCTCAGGAGAAATCCATCAACACAAAGTCTCAATTCTGAACATCTATGCCCCTAATACAAAGCCACCCACATTCGTAAAAGAAACACTACTAAAACTCAAAGCTCATATAAAACCTCACACACTTATAGTGGGAGACTTCAATACACCACTCTCAACACTAGACAGGACCACAAATCAGAAACTCAACAAAGAAACAAAAGAATTAACAGAAGTTATGTCTCAACTGGGGCTAACAGACATCTATAGAACATTCCATCCAAAGACAAAAGAATATACCTTCTTCTCTGCTCCACATGGAACCTTCTAAAATCGACCACATACTAGGAGACATAACAAACCTCAACAGATACAAGAGAATAGAAATAGTCCCCTGTATCTTATCAGACCACCATGCTTTAAAATTGGAATTCAACAACAATACAAATAGCAGAAAACCTGCAAACTCATGGAAACTTAACAATGTGCAATTGCACCACTCCTGGGTCAAAGAAGAAATAAAGAAAGAAATTAAAGACTTTCTAATATTCAACGAGAATGAGGATACAACATACCCGAACTTATGGGACACCTTGAAAGCAGTGCTACGAGGGAAGTTCATTGCACTAAGTGCCCATATGAAGAAAACAGAGGATAGTCACATAAATGAATTAACAGCGCAACTGAAAACCTTAGAACAGAGAGAAGCGAATTCACCCCGCAGGAGCAGACGCCAGGAAATAATCAACTTGAGGGCTGAAATCAACAAAATAGAAACCAGGAAAACAATACAAAAAATCAATGCAACAAAGAGTTGGTTTTTTGAGAAAATCAACAAGATTGATAAACCTTTATCCAAATTAACGAAAAAGCAGAGACAGAACATGCAAATTAACAAAATCAGAAACGAAATGGGGAACATAACAACAGACACAGAGAAAATCCAGACAATTTTCAGGTCATACTTCGAAAATCTGTATTCCACAAAAATTGAAAATTCAAAGGAAATGGACAAGTTTCTGGATAACTATCACTTACCAAAATTAAATCAAGAACAGACAAACAACTTAAATAGACCTATAACCCGAAATGAAATAGAAGTAGTCATCGAAAGCCTTCCAACGAAAAAAAAGTCCAGGGCCAGATGGATTCAGTGCAGAATTCTACCAGACATTCAAGGAAGAACTAATACCACTACTCCTCAAACTGTTCCACAAGATAGAAACAGAAGGTTTATTGCCAATCTCTTTTTATGAGGCCACAATAACTTTGGTACCCAAACCTCACAAAGACACAACTAAGAAAGAAAACTACAGACCAATATCTCTGATGAACATCGATGCAAAAATACTCAATAAAATAATGGCAAACCGAATTCAAAAATACATCAGAGAAATCATCCACCATGATCAAGTAGGCTTCATACCTGGATTGCAGGGATGGTTTAACATACGAAAATCTATCAACGTGATCCACCATATAAACAAACTGAAAAAGAAAAACCATATGATTATCTCCCTAGATGCAGAAAAAGCCTTCGATAAAATTCAACACCCTTTCATGATAAAGGTATTAGAGAGGTCAGGGATAACAGGAACATACCTAAACATAATAAGAGCAATATACAGCAAACCAACTGCCAACATCAAACTGAATGGAGAGAAACTTAAGCCAATTCCTCTAAAATCAGGAACAAGACAAGGCTGTCCTCTCTCTCCATATCTCTTCAATATCGTACTAGAAGTTCTAGCTAATGCTATAAGACAACAAAAGGAGATCAAGGGCATCCAAATTGGAAAGGAAGAAGTCAAACTGTCTCTATTTGCAGATGATATGATAGCTTACATAAGCGACCCAATAAACTCTACCAGGGAACTCCTACAGCTGATAAACACCTTCAGCAAACTAGCAGGATACAAGATAAACTCAAAAAAATCAGTAGCCCTATTTTTTTCAGACGACAAAGAGGCAGAGCAAGAAATCAGAGAAACATCACCCTTTACAATAGCCACAAGCAACATAAAGTATCTTGGTGTAATGCTTACCAAACAAGTAAAAGATCTATATAATAAGAACTTTGTGACTCTAAAGAAAGAAATTAAAGAAGATACCAGAAAATGGAAAGACCTCCCATGCTCTTGGATAGGTAGGATAAACATAGTAAAAATGGCAATCTTACCAAAAGCAATCTACAGATTCAATGCAATCCCCATTAAAATCCCACCACAATTCTTCACCGACCTTGAAAGGATAATAATCAACTTTATATGGAAAAACAAAAGACCCAGGATAGCTTAAACAACCCTATACAATAAAAGAACATCAGGAGGCATCACCATTCCTGACTTTAAGCTCTACTACAGAGCTATAGTTCTGAAAACAGCCTGGTATTGGCATAAAAATAGACAGGTAGACCAATGGAATCGAATTGAAAATCCTGATATTAATCCACGCACCTATGAACACCTGATTTTCGACAAAACAGCCAAAATTATACAATGGGGCAAAGACAGCATCTTCAACAAATGGTGCTGGCACAATTGGATGAGGGTGTGTAGAAGACTGCAGATAGACCCATGTCTGTCGCCATGCACAAAACTCAAGTCCAAATGGATCAAAGACCTCAACATCAATCCAGCCACATTGAACCTCTTAGAAGAGAAAGTAGGAGGTACCCTTGAACAAATTGGTATAGGAGACCGCTTCTTGAACATAACTCCAGGGGCACAGACACTGAAAGAAACAATTAATAAATGGGACCTCTTCAAACTTAGAAGCTTCTGTAAGGCAAAGGACACAGTTGACAAGACCAAACGGCAGCCCACTGACTGGGAAAAGATTTTCACTAATCCTATATCCGACAAAGGGCTGATCTCCAAAATATACAAAGAACTCAAGAAACTAGTCAACAAAACACCAAATAACCCTATTAAAAAATGGGGTACAGAACTGAAGAAAGAATTCTCAATGGAGGAAATCAAAAAGGCTGAAAGACACTTAAGAAAATGCTCCACATCCTTAGCTATCAGGGAAATGCAAATCAAAACAACTTTGAGATACCATCTTACCCCTGCCAGAATGGCTAAAATTAGAAACACCAGTGATGACTTATGTTGGAGAGGATGTGGAGAAAGTGGAACACTCCTCCACTGCTGGTGGGAGTACAAACTCATACAGCCACTTTGGAGATCAGTATGGCGGTTCCTCAGGAAAATGGGAATTAGTTTACCACAGGACCCGGCAATCCCCCTCTTAGGCATATACCCAAAGGATTCACATCAATGCAACAAAGACATCTGTTCAACTATGTTCATAGCAGCACTATTTGTAATAGCAAGAACCTGGAAGCAACCTAGATGCCCTTCAATTGAAGAATGGTTAATGAAGATGTGGCACATCTACACAATGGAATACTACTCTGCAGAAAAAAATAATGGTATCTTGAAATTCGCAGGCAAGTGGATGGCACTTGAAGAAACCATCCTGAATGAGGTAACCCAGTCACAAAAAGAGGAACACAGTATGTACTCACTCATATATGGATTTTAGACCTAGATCAAATGATCACCAGCCTATAATTCACATCACCAGAGGAACTAGGATACAAGTTGTATTCTAAGAGATTCATATAAAGTCCCTCACAGAACTGGGAAGGGACAAGTCCCCCAGACCTCAGGTATAGTGGGGGAGGACAGCTAATGGAGAGAGAAGTAGGAGAAAATGAGAGGGAGGAGAGGAAGGCATGTGCGACCAGGAGGATTGAGCCTGGTTAGGAATGGAAAATAGGAAAGAGAGAGAGAGACAGAGACAGAGAGAGAGAACATAAAAGAGGGAGCCAATATTGGTTTGAAGATAAAGTTGAACACAAAGAAAGGTCGAGGGAACTACAAGACTGCTCCCAACTAACAATCTCAGCTTCCGTGGAAAGGCTATCATAAATACCCTTCCCGGAGAGTGAGATCAACAACTAACTTCTCCATGGAGTCCTCAACTAATGCCTGTTGAAAACAGGAGCAAACACCCATACATAAACACTGAGCCGAACTAGAACCCAGAAGCAGATGGAGAGGACAAGACCATGCGGTAGAAGTACATAGAGACAGCTTACCTGAACAAGGAGGAGCTAAGGGCCACTAGACTGATAGCTGGGAAGCCAACAGGGGTCTGACTCGGACCCCCCTGAATATGGGTCTCAGCCAGAAGGTCTGAGCAGTCTAAGAGACCTCAGACAGTAGAGCCAGGATGTATCCCTGGTGCACAAAAGGACTTTGCAAACATATCCCCCATGAAGGGATAACTGCCTTATTCTAGAGATAGGAGAGAAGCCCTAGTCCCTACTTCACAGGACCTGTCAGATCTACATGACCCCAACTGAATGGCATTCCCCTACATATTGTATTGTGGTGGGGGGTTGGGAGGGGAGGGTGTTTAGAGTGCATGGGAGAGGGTAGAGAGGGTAAAAGGGAGGGAAGGAGGGAGGGAAGGCTTGGGGGGAGGGAGGGAGGGAGGGAGAGGGAACTGGGATCGACATGTAAAATAAAAAAAAAAAAAAAAAAAAAAAAAAAAAAAACGCTTTGACTCCAAAATTTAAGTTGAAGAACAAGTTACTGGGGAAAAGTATTTCTATTTTTGTTTCCACAGAAAATGAAAAGATGTGGATTCCTTCCAGACTAATGTGGTTTGATCACACCAGACCGCCTGAAACAGAGTACAAGCTGATCCTACATTCCAAACAGCTGGACAAAACAGCCCTACAGACTACAGCTAGGATATCTGAATCTTCTTCGAATCCCCCAAGACAGCGCCCCTTACCAGCAGGAAGTAGTTTGGAAAGAACTACGCCCAAATTCCCAAATATTGTGTATAAATGTTTGTTTTCATTTAATTGGACTTTGTTATATAAAATTAAATAAAAAATACTCTATATGCATAAAAAAAAAAAAGAGTCAACCCACCTCTGTAAATCCTTGGGGCCACTGTATCATGTTCTCAGATAAAGAAAACTGTTGACCCTGGGGAGCATTTATAGAAAATTTTCCTACTTTGACTTTTATCCCGAGACCTTTTGGGAAATTCCAGAAGTTGAAAACATCATACTCTACATCCGATTTCCTTTTCCCACCTAGATCCATGTCATCCCCAGTGGGGCTTTTTAGCTGTCTGTTCTTCAGAAAAGGATGAATCTGAAAGAGAGGCATGATAGTATGGGAAATGCCTGGAGAGGTGCTGCTGAAGCAGAGTAAAGATAGATTGTCACTGCATTTGATTCCTGCAGTCAAGAGCAGCTTGAACTTAGGTATCAATGATGCTGAACAAATGTTAGCCTGGAAGAATGGAAGCATAATTACGTTCCTCAACGTTGGCCGCTTTCAAGAGACAACTTAGAACCAATCACTCCTGAATGAGGAATGTAGGCTGAGACCAATTCAAACATTCTTGGAAAGATAAACATACCCAAGTCAAATTTAAAAGTATTAGAGTGTACTGGCTGATTTTGTTTGTCAACTTGACAAAGGCTAGAGTCATTAGAGAGGAAGGAACCTCAGTTGAGGAACTTGATGAGATTCAGCTGTAAAGCATTTGCTCAATTAGTGATCAGTGGGGGAAGGCCAGCCATAGTGGCGGTGTCATCCCTGGGCTGGTGGTCCTGGTATCTATAAAAAAGCAGGCTGAGGCCAGGTGGTGGCAGCATACACCTTTAATCCCATCACTTGGGAGGCAGAGGCAGGCAGATCTCTGAGTTTGAGACCAGCTAGTTCAATGACAGGCTTCAAAGCTATACAGAGAATCCCTGTGTAGTGAGATAGTTCTGTGGCACTGACCACGCCCATTGGGGGGTGGAGCCATGGGCGGAGTGACCTGTGAAAGGAGGGAGAAGGGGGCAGGAAAGGCGCTCTCTTTCTGGCGTGACTCTGACAGGAGAGGATCGGGTTGAATTTCCTGGTGTTCATCTGTCTAGGTTGTAAGTTATTTCTCCCTAAATAAACATCTATTCGGCCTATTTGTTTATCCTGATCCTTATTTAACCACGATATCTGGTGTCAGAAGTGGGATTTACCTGGGTTTCGCCCAGGCGGCAGAAGCCGCCCCACTCCCCCACCTTCCCCAACGGGCAGGGTTTAACCAGGTGGACTCACCACAGCTTTGGGACATTTGCCTCTTCCTTACTGCAAAGGAGATCTTAGCCGCTAAAGCAGACCTGAGAAGGCACTTACCACTTAACATTTTTTGCCCATTTCCGCACGGGACTTTACATTTGCGCAGAGCCACTCGGCAGCACCCGCCCTGCTTACACGCGTTTCATCTTGTGTTCCAAGTAACTTCAAAAGTCCCCTTTTAACAAAATTCATATACTGAATAGAATTCAAATGATATAAGATAGAAAAACAGAGGAGCTATTTTGGAGATAAATTTTTCTCAGTTACAAATAAATAGAAGGAGATGTCATTTCAGATGCTTCTCTTAGTTTATACTTGGTGTTTTGATTCTTTTGTTGAAGAATACACATATTTCTTTTTTCAATTAATTTTTATTTAAATTATAAACAATTTATTTTACATATCAATTCTAGTTCCCTCTCCCTCACATCATCCCATTTCCCTCACCAACCTCCCATCCCATACCCCCATCCTCTTCCCAGGGAGGGTGAGGCCTCCCATTAGGGTTCATCAAAGTCTGTCACATCATTTGGGGAAGGACCTAGGCTCTCCATAAATCTAGGCTGAGGGAGTATCCCTCCATAGGGAATGGTCTCCTAAAGTCCATTTGTGTACTAGGGATAAATACTGGTTCCACTACCAGAGGCCCCATAGACTGCCCAGGCCTCCTAACTGACACCCATATTCAGGGGATCTGGTTTGATCCTATGCTGGTTCCCTAGCTGTCATACTGGGTTCCATGAGCTCCCACTTGCTCATGTCAGCTGTTTCTGTGGGTTTCCCCAGCATGGTCTTGACCCCTTTGCTCATCACTCCCCCACTCTCTGCAACTGGATTCCAGGAGTTCGGCTTAGTGCTTAGCTGTGAATCTCTGCTTCTGCTTCTATCAGATACTGGATAAAGAAAGACTCTATATAATGGCATTTAAGGTAGTCATCAATCTCATAGGGGAAGGGCATTTAAGGTAGCCTCTCCACTATCGTTAGATTCTTAGTTAGGGTCATCATTGAGAACACACTTATTTCTATTTAAGACAAGTTCTAAAAACCTCTGCATTTTGAAGAAGAGTTGTCAGAAGAATACTATAACAATAAATGGAGAAAGAAGTACTATGTGATTACAGGGATTCTAGTTTGTAATGAATGAAAAAATCATGGGCAGCTAGTTAATGGGTTGATTCAGATGTGGTCTCACACACCATTGCAGCTGTCCCTTCTGCAGAACACTGTGGCACCTAATGGTCTTGAGTCATTTTAAGTGATCCCTTACATAACCACTCTATTAGTGCTCAGTTCCATTTTGACAATGAATGTCTACATATTCAGTTTTTTTAATGAGGAATGTCTGTGGAAATATGGATTTTCATATTGAATATTTTATTGTGTGAAGATTGTGAAGATTTTTATAATACAACTACATATTGATATGAAAGATTTTCTCCTTGTATCAGCATCATGTTCATCATAGAAATAGGCACTTGTATTTTCATTGACAAGTAGGCATAAGGCTCTCCTATGAATTTTTGACAAAATGATCTAAAATATGTATTGCTTAGTCTGAATGCCATTATAAACCCTCAGTGTGTCACATTGCTGATGTTATCAATACTACAGATGGGACATTACCTGCCAGGGGGAAAACACCATCTCTTTCCCATTTGCACTTGGTTGAACTTGTACTTGATTGAGAATCATCTCATGGAGACTGTGGGCCACTGCATACACAGCATTGTACACATTGTAACTCTCTTCACTCATGGCCATGTCAAATATATTCCCAGGCAAGAATCCCAAGGAAGCATTGGGCAGACAGTTACCCAATATTTTACAATTCTTTCTTGAAAACGAGCAGTTGAAGAATATTTGCCACAATATATGAAGATAAATGTCTTCTGGATATTTAAAAGGGTTGGCTGTCTGGATGAAGTCTGTAAAATTAACTACCTCACCATAATGGTGAGAAAAAATAAGAGCTCCATGCATTGAATCTAACATGAAATAATCATCAAATTTGGAAGCATCCCACTGTGAGGTCAGGATCCAGACTTTCCATGTGAGTAACTTCTGCTTAATATTTACTATTAAGCTCAACAGAGAATCAGTGTCCCCATAAATAATAATCACATTGGCTGATGATTCCAGAATCTGCTCCTGATTTTTCCAAGGTCTGGTCAGAGTCGAACCCCTGCTGACAAGGATCATTTCCACAAATGCTATGCAGATTCCACTTTTGTCCATCTCTTTTCTCAAGTCTGATAGAATCTGGGTGCCTTTGTGGTCATCTTCAATGAACAGTCCTATCCAGGTCCAGTGAAAATGAATCATCAAAGAGGCTATGCCCAGTGTCAGTAATTTGTCCTTGGGGGCCATCTGGTACAGTGAAGAAAACTGGCCTCTGTCACTCAGCATAGAATCAAAGGGCCCGATAGTAAGCTGAAGGGGAAACGGTCAGCAAAAAAGAGTGATAACTTTGTTATAAAATGAAAATTTGGTTGTTCTGTGCTCTATTGATATCCCTGGGAGGCCTGCTTTATTCTGAAGAGAAATGGAGGAGGAGTGGTTCTAGGGTAGAGAGAAGGTGTGGGGGCAAAGGGATTAGGAGGAGTGGAGGGAAGGGGAAATGTGGTCAGGATTGGTGTGGGAATCATGAAGTTGGCCTGGCCTGCCTCCAGAGGAGTGATAGCTTTTTCAGGTCAGAGTCCATGGCTCCAGGACAATGTGACTTACAGTTCCTGAGAGACCAATGCATTCCTTCCAGCAGTGAAGTGTTCAGGCTGCTTTGTGTTTCTCTGTATATTCTCTTAGTAATCGAGGAAGCATGGATGCTTGACAGGAGAATTGGTTTCATATGTGAATCTTGTGTACCTTGTATAAATCACAAACTTTATTGCATCCTGGCAATTACAATTGTATTGATCCTGGCAATCGCCATTATATTCCCTTTCTGATAAAGGTGTAAAAAGTCTGATTGCTCTCAATATAATTGTCACAGCCTCTGTCTTGCTATAACCCCTCCAACTCAAGCCAGGTTTCATTCCTTGAGGCCATATCAAGTGACTTTGACCTGGTAAGTAAACATGGGCACTTATAGGGTGTAACGTATGGGGGGAAGGGTGGGTATTTTGGGAGTGAGGTAGAAATCTAGTGCAATGGAAACTCCCTGGGATCTACAAGGGTGATCCTAGAGAAGATTTAGTAATGGGGAATACAATACAGAGCCTGTGGCACTTTGAATGTAATTGGCTCCCATAATCTCACAGGGAGTGATGCCTCTTCACAGTGATGCTCCTAACTAAGGCAGACTTGGTACCAGGAACTGGGGTATTGCTGTAATAAGCCTGAACATGTTTTTGTTCAGAATAATGTTGGAACTATGGATTAGAAAAGCAGTTTAGCCGGATGTTGGTGGCCCATGCCTTTAATGCCAGCACTCAGGAGGCAGAGGCAGGCAGATCTCCTTGAGTTTGAAGCCAGCCTAGTTTATAGAGTGAGTTCCAGGACAGGCTCCAAAGCAATACAGAGAAACCCTGCCTTGAAAAATCAAAAGGAAAAGAAAGAAAGAAAGAAAGAAAGAAAATAAAAGCAGTTGAATACTTTAAGTGCTGCTTAATGGGCTACAGTAGTAGGAGACAGCAGTGCTGAGTATGATCTGATGAACTGTGTGTGTGTGTGTGTGTGTGTGTGTGTGTGTGTGTGTGGTGGGTCAAGAAGTTTCAGCAGAGAAGAATATTAATATGAGGACTAGAAATCATTCTTGTGATATTTTGGTCAGACCCTTGTCTTAAGGGTCTGTCTGAGGCTAAAGTGACGAATTTAGGATTAATTTCATTGGCAGAAGAAATCTCAAAACAGCCTAGTACAGACTCTGTCCTGTGGTTACTAGTATTCATGCTTATAAAGCTTTATGATGAAAAGGAGTAATCTGAGCAGGAAAACTACAAAGTGCAATTTTTGAGGAGAAAAAAGAGCACCAGGAAGTGAAATGGGGCCAACTCCTCTGTTCCACGATGGAAATGGATTAAGAAACAGAATATATGGAGTGGTGACCTCAGGGTAAAATCCCATCCAGCTAAGTTTCCCACTAGTGAAAAGGAACTAAAGAAAAGCTCAGAGCCAGGTGTGGTGGTGCACACCCGTAATCCCAGCACTAGGAAGGCTGGGGCTGACGGATCTCTGAGTTTGAGACCAGCCTGGTGTATAGAGCAAAAGTTCAAGACAGCTGAGCCCAGGCAGTGAAGGAACAGACAGTTGGTGAAGATATAATTGAATGAGGGGGACATATTCCAGCCCTAGTAAGCAGCATAACTTGGCAGCTTTGGCCATGTGGTTCTGGCTTTAGAGTTAAGGAAAAAAGAAATGGGTTATAGAATTTGCCCAGTGCCTAAAGAAAGCTGCTGAGGCCAGGCATGTGTCAGGGCTGTCCATGAATGGAGCTCTAGTAGAGAGGCCGTTGTGAGAAGCTGTGAAGTTGAAGCCTGGATTGCCTTGGAGAACCCAAGGTTAACATCTTGCCAGAGATAGCTGCTGAGGAGAGCAGGGAGTGGGGCCAACTCAAGTGCAGTCAACACTGAAGGGAGTTGGAGATCTGAAGAGCGCTTTGACATCAGTTATGGAAATACAGAGTTTGGAGTTTGCCGTTGGTTTTTAGTCTTGCTTTGGTGCAGTATTTTCTCACTATGCTCTCTTCTCTACATTTGGAATGGTAGTGTATATCCTGTGTCATTAAATGTTAGAAGTATGAGATATGATTTTTAAATTTTGATTTTATAGGGGATTACATGTAAGAGCTTGCATAATCTCGGAAGAGACTTTGAACTTTGGACTTTAAAACATTGTTGAGGCTGTGATAGACTATGGGGACTTTTGAGATTGGACTATATGCATTTTGAATTATTATATTCTTATAAGCTTATGAGGGCCAAGGAGTGGAATTTGGAAGTTTAAATGCAATTGGCCTCTATAACTTCACACAGAATGGCATTATTAGGAGATGTGGCATTGTTGAAATGGGCATGACCTTGATGGAGGAAGTATGTCACTTTGGGGGCAGGCTTTGAGGTTTCTGATCTTCAGGATACTACCAGTGTCTCAGTCGACTTCCTGTTGCCTGCAAGATGTAGGACTCTCAGCAAATTTTCCAGCACCACATCTGCCTGCATGCTACCATGCTCTCCATTGTGATGAAAATGGACTGAAACTCTGAAACTGAAGCCAGCCCCCTCAATTAAATGTTTTCCTTATACGAGGTGCCTTGGTCATAGTCTCACTTTACAGTAATAGAAACCAAAACTAAGACAGAAGTTGAACTGGCCATCTTCTGTAACCAGGAAAGGCTTACAATGGTAGGACATGGAACCAACCCAGTCACAAAATCTTCAACCTACAAATTGTCCTGCCTGCAAGTTTGCTGCAGTAAAGGCAGTGCAGAATTATGGGACTGGCCAGTCAGTGATTGGTCCAGTTTGAGAGGGAGCTCATGCCTGACATTGCCTAGAGGGCCAGGAACCAGAGGCTTAATAGGCCAGAGTCCTAGGATATAACTAAACATGACTGGCAAAAAAGTCAATGAAATGATTCCTGCTGATATTCTGCTGTACTCATAGACTGGAGTCTAAAATCACTTATCCTGTTCTTTAGTGCAAACTTAATTGTTGAGAGCTTTCTAGAATATTTCTGATAATTGGTAGAGTGTCAAAAGTATGTTGTCTCCTCCTTACCTCTACTCCAAAATGCAGAACTGTAGATCTATCACCAATTGCCTGCATACCTTCTCAGTAAATGAGTAATTCATATCTCCCTCTTGTCCCTTTGAAGCCCCTTGAATTATCACCAAATGATTACTAACTTTACACTCTCTCACATCACCTTCCCTTACCTGTGGAAATTTGTATAGATCTAGGAATGTTCCTATGCATTCAGATATTATCCATGATGTTCCTGTAAGTACTGCTGCTGACTTGCTATGTGCACAACTATAGTTAGGTTTCCCAATTTTCTTTCCTGAGAGCCACCCAAAAATATTGGCCACAATGTTTCTTTCACCCTGTGGAACATTATAGACATCAAATCCCAGAGATGTGTTTGGTAAAAGATGGGGATTGCTGTTGATCTCCTCAATGGCAAACCTCATGGCCAAAATACACTGGTAGTTCCTCAACTTAATCCTGCATAGAAGGTAGAAAACTATTTAGGAAGAAAAATCCTATCACACATTTGTGCAAGTTCAATACAAGAGCTTTTATAGATCGAATAGTTGTATTTCAAAAAAAATCACAATGATTTCATATTTTTCAGGAATATTTGGAATTAGAATAGGAATGTTATGTCATTAGAAGAGGTAAAATTCTTACTGCAGATCTCTCAATAGCTAGAGATCAAGAAGACTTAATTTATTTTCCTTACAGCTATGCAGAATTATACCACAAATTTGTAAGAGTTCTTTAAACTTCCCGGTAACTCAATATTTGGTTTTTATTTTGTACAACCATTAAAAGAAAAATTTTTGTTGATTAAACCTCAAGTTTATTAAGATACTGTCTTACTAAAAGCTCACCCAGTTCATTCAAACTGTCTTAGGAATAGCTGACATTTCCTTAATAATATCTTCTTTACTCCCACTCGTGTGTGTGAGGATATTCACACATGCACCAAAGTTTCTGCATGCTAAATAGAGGAAAACCACAGTTGGGGTCTTTATTTTCCACATTGTTTAATACAAGTTCACTTTGTTTCTTTTACTGTGTAATCCAGGTGAGCTGGCCCAAGCACTTGTTGGAATTTTTGTGCCTCTTCTGATTTTGTAAAAAGATTAATGGGTTTACAAAGTTGTACTTTGATGCCTATTTATTTTATATTATTTTCATACAATATTATATGATCACATTTTGCCCTATAACCACCCCTGACATATCTTCACCACCTCCCTTTTCACCCAACTTCAGGCTATTTCTCTCTGTCTTTTTCTCAAAACAAAATAAAAGCAAAAAAGCACCAAAAAAGTAAATTAAAACAAAAAAAATCCAGTAACATAGAAAATGCCAAAACAAAGTTAAAAGTGTACAAAACCTCTATGGAGTCCATTTTAGGTTGACCATAAAGTACTCTCAGGCACTGTGCCTGACTGGAGTGTCATTGACGTGCAGAGTGACACTCAACTGGAGAAAAATGATGTTTTCCCTTGGGTAGAAGGTCTAGTTGCAAGCAGTTTGTTGATTATGAATGGGACTTTGGGTCCATTTCTCCTCCTTGCTGAACTTTTGTTTGGAACTTGTGCTGGTCTTGCGTATGATGTCACAGTCTCTGTGTATCAGCCCTGTTGTGGTCCTTTGAGTCATACACCATGTCTTGCTCCTACAATCTTTCAGCCTCCTCTTCTTCACAAATCTCTGAATCTTGAGAGGAGTGGCTTGATAAAAGCATCCTATTTAGGGCTGAGTGCTGCAAAGTCACTCAACCTCTGCACCTTTTCTGGCTGTGGGTGTTTGTGTTGTTAATTATCATCTAATGCAAGAAGACACTTCTCTGATGCAAGTTGAGTGATGTCCTTATCTATGGGTGCAGCAATGTGTTATCAGAATGCATTTCTGTGTTCATTTAGCATAATAGTAGTCATAAGACTTATTTAGTAATACATTCTTGGCTAATTTCAGTGACAGGTATAGTTTCATCTGATGGAGTGGGCCTTAATCCAATAAAATGTGCTTGTACTCCTATAGAATTTCACCATTATTGCACAAGTATAACTTGCAGGTATGTTGCTGTTGTAGTTCTTAGGGTTTATAGCTATGACAACTTTCTCCCTGCTGGTAGCCTTTAAGGTACCTACCAGCCAGTAGGGCTGAAGCTCTTAGTTGAATACCAGTTCAATTTCTCCATGTTTGATGATATGAGCAAATTCTATTTTTAGTAAAATTGGGAGGTTGTGAAGATAACCTCGCAATAGCATTAGTCTGAAATATCTGAACAAAAACTGGTGAAGATACAATCCATTCCTAGTACTGAGTTTTTACTTGATAGTATATGGTGTCTGTTTGGGGTATTATCTTTTCCTATTGTGACTCCATTTAAATTTCTTTCATCTATGTACACAATTTAGGAAGCATCTATAACATTAGGTTTCCACATGGTCTTAAAAAGGTCTAAAATGTTAGTTGTCTATGCTCAAATTCCCTCCTTTAGCCTTACCTCACATCCTGATCCCCACTTAATTTTCCTGTTCTAGTTTCCCCTTTATCTCTTTATTCTTCCTTAGGAGATCCAGTCTTCTTCCTTGGGTCCTCACTAACCCCTGTGGTTATTTTGATTGCAGCATACATACCAAAAGCTTAAAGACTAGCATCTATGTATAAGAGAAAACCTGCAGTATTCTTGTTTGTTACCTCATCTGGGATGATTGTTTGCACTGCTATGAATAATTAATCTTCTTTCCATACATCCTTGTCAATATCTGAATTTACTTGTTTTATTGATCTTGTCCATTCTGGTTAGAGGAAGGAGAGGAAGTTTGTATTTCACTAGTGCCTAAGGATGTTGAATGTATTTAAGTGTTCCTTGGCCATTTGTATTTCATTTTTAAAGAACTCACTGTTTATTTCTATAGACCATTTTAAGCTAGTTCTTTTGTTTTCTTGATATTTTGTTTTTTAGTGTCTTTCAGGATAGGTGCTCTTTAGTAGGGTTTATAAATAGTAGAGACCCCCCCCAATTCTGTAGGCTTTTGCTTTGCTTAAATAATCATGTCTTTTCTTGTAGAGAAGCATTCTAGATTTATGAGATCCCATTTATTAATTGTGGGTTTTAATGTCTATTGTATCAGTGTCTTGTTCAGAAAGCACTTTTCTGTATCAGATCAGGGTACTTAGTCTGATGCTTGGTTACTTGTTCCATCTGAAATTCAGTTCTTTGAAAGTTATAGATTTGAATCTAGTTTCATGTAGCTATCTGGTTTTATCAACACCATATATTGAAGAAGTGGTCTTCTAGTTTTTTCTTCTTTATCAAAGATCAGGTATCTGTAGCTATGTGGAATTATCTTCTACTCAATATCAACCAGAGGCCTTCTGTACTTATACAACTAGAGACTCAGAAGCAACATATAACACATGGAACTTAATTTTGTTTTTGTTTCCTAATGGACCTCATATATTAGGAAGAAATTATACATAGTACAAGGTTTTGAAGGTATGAATAGATATCAGTTAGTGAAGGTAAGTCAGAAGGTGTTTAATAACTGAAATCCTGTGAATGACCAAAAGGATAAAAGGTTGACCAAAGCCTAATGGCTGCCCTATAAGAGAACATGGAAAATAGAAAATTCCTACATAAAAAGAGGGAGGAATTTTGGGAGAGTGAGTGCCTACTACTAGAAAAGAACTAATGTGTCTATTGTAAGAAAAGAGGACATTGGGAAAAATGAATGCCCACACAGAAAGAAAAAGATCTCATGTACTTCAATTGAAAAAATAAAGGAGCCCAGATCCTACACGTTCTGTTTCCAGGAGTCTAGGGTGACACTGAAGATAAGGGGCAAAGCAACTGACATTGTAGTAGACACATGTGTGATATATTTAGTCTTTCAAAAGCCCCTAAGCCATCTGACTGCCCAACAGACTGCAGTCCAGAGGGTGTCAGGGAAAACTGTCATTATGCATGTTTCATTGATCTTAGAGGAGGAATGATAACCCATTAGTTTTTGGTCATGGGTGATTGTCCCTACCCTCTACTATAGTGGGACCTCATTTATAAACTCAAAGCCACCATATCTTTTCTTATAAAGATGTCCAATTAGACTTGCAGTCACCTAGTCAAATTTTACTGTTTTGCCCACTTTAAAGAAGAGTACCTCAGCCTAGCCCAGAGAAACAGACTATCTCTCAGACCTACAGCAAAGATTCCCTAGAGACCAACTCCCCCAGGGATAGCTAAGCCTCAAGCACCTATACCTGTTGGATTAACAAGTTCAGCTACTCCTGTTGCATCAAGCAATACCTCACAGCTCCCAGGGCAAAGAAAGGAATTTCTATTCATACCACCCAACTCAGGCAGGCAAGCATCCTGGTGTCCTGCCAGTCACCTTAAATGCACCCTCCTTGCCCATCAAGAACTTGTAAGCCCTGACTGTAGGTATGTTTGGGGCCTAAAGAAAGTGAACAAGAGGATGTAGACTATTTATTCTGTAGTCCCAAACCCACATATCCTGATGAGTTTGATTACTTCAGTGAAACAGGTGTATGCAGTTTGGGACTTGAAAGATGAGTTCTCCCCATGGCATAGGTGAGTCAACCATCTTTAATTTCAAATGGACAGATACAGAGGAAGGATTTAATTGATATCTTACTTGGACTTGTTACCCCAGAGATTTGAGACCTCCCCAACTCTGTTAGAGGGGGCACTGAGTGCTGATTTCTTAACATTTGGTCTGAAATTCCCTGGGAAAATACTCTTGTAGTTGTTAAGTATCCTGTTAGCCTCAGAACTGGATGCAGCCTGTAGAAGAGTCCCTAAGGAACTGCTGCAGAACTTAGGATACAGAGTGTTGGCCAGGAAGGCCCAGCTTTGCTACTTATCTTGGCTATAATGTAAAAGAAAAAAGGGGATTCTGTCTCAGAGACAGATTTCTTCTATTCCCCCAAATACTAACTCCCAAAACAAAGGGACAGGTTGGAGAGTTCTTAGGAAAAGTTGGAATATGGTTGCCTCTGGATACTCAGGTTTAGAAAAATGGTGATCTCTCTCTCTATTTATCAGTACAATAGGGTGCTCTGAGCCTTTAACCTTGACTGGAATTGAAAAAAAAGGTATTAGGGGTCTTAAAAACTGCCTAACCTCAGACCCTGCTATGGTGCTTCCAGATGTCTCAAATCCATTCTATCTGTTCATCTAGGGAATTAGGGCCATTCCAAAAAGATTTATAACCAAGACTTTGGGGCCATTAAAATGCTCTATGACATACTTGTCAAAAATAGTTAGACCCCGTGTCCATATGGTAGCCACCCATTTCATGATAGTGGCTGGTACCACCAGCCTCTTAAAGGAATCTGGTGAATTAACTTTGGGACAAGATCTCCTCTTCACAACAACCCATGTGGTGGAAGCCCTCTACAGAGGGACCCCAGAAAGATGGCTGTCAAATGCTTGCATAATTCAGTATATAGCCCCACTCATGGATCACTCTTGAATCTGATTTGGGAAAAAAACAACCATTAGGAGCCCTACTACTCTCCTAACTTACAGTGACCACCAATTGCCCATCCATGATTGTCTTGAGTTGACTACAGCAATACAACGAATTCACCTGGACTGAAAGGATGTCTCCTTGAAGGGTCCTGATGTTGTACTCTACACAGACAAGAGCTTTGTCAAAGATGGAACAGATACACAGGAGCTACTGTAGTCTCTTCAACTGGAGAATTTGGGCCCAGGCTTTGGAACCAGGCACTTTTGTTCAGAAAGCAGAGCTGATTGTGTTGACCCAAGAACACAATTTGGGAAATGAAAAGTCTATTATATATACACTAACAGCCACTATGCCTTTGCCACCATGCAGGTGCACAGCATGAAAAAGAGGGCTCCTTAGTGCTGGTAAAGGACATTAAAAATAAGGAGAAAATCTTAGCCCTCATGGAAGCAAATTGGCTCCCCTAGTGACTCACCATCTTTCACTGCCTAAAAGAGATGACTCTCCCAAGGCAAGGCATAACTAAGCAGTTGATATAGCAAACTGACAGGTGTCCCTAAGACCAGTTGGGTCCACAGACATCCTCCTGACCCAACCCAACCCTATGTTTCCCAAGATCCTGTATTACAACCAAGATTAAATAAAATATGCAAAAAGGAAAACTGGATAGCTAGAACAAACTCAACTCCAAATTGATCATAAGATCTCAACTTAAGACCAAGTACTCTGAATCTTACAGGAAAGAAGGTAAAGTTTGAACTCATTGAAACAAGAAAAAACTTTCTGAATATTATACTTACAGCACAGCATTAAGGCCAACAATGAATAAATGAGGCCTCATAACGATAAAAATTATTTATACAGCAAAACAGCATCATTCAAGCAAAAGCAGTGGGAATACAGAATATAGAAAGTAGATTTGCCATTTATAAACCCTGATTTGGCTTAGAGTCTACATTTCTTTCTCCTGTGAATGATCTGGGACATAAGTCCAATTTGGAGAATTCAAGATGAATCTGCTAATGTAGTAATCAACATTGTTATTCATTTTTTTATACAATGTGTTATTTTACTGCTTCTTTTACAAAGTGTTTCTCACACCTAAGAGCATCTAGAAAGTCTAGATATTTTCAATAATGTAATTCATCTAACTAATTCTAGCTACCTTGGAACTTTCTATATAGGTCAGGCTGGCATTGAACTCAGAGATTTGCCTACCTCTGCCTCCTAAATTCTGGTATTGCAGGCATGACTCACCAACCCCTAAGATACTTGTTTTTGATAAGATGGTATGCTATAAAATATATAAACAATATATCATTGGAAATTTAAAATGAGGATGACTATTACATACTGTAATTTTATAATTGTACATTTGTATATATGAATATTATCCTTTACACAAAAATTGATGTGTATGTGATAATGTTTAATATAGTCTAATGTTGGCTGTATTTTTATGAACACATTGACATATTATTGTGAAATCTGGCAATGTGAAACTTTCAGAAGTTAGTGAAAATAATTCAGAATAAAACTAGAAGAAAGTGCTATTTCTGAAAAGTATGATTTTGAGAACTAATTATGAGTAATATTTTATGTAGGGTGAAAATGGTACCAGATTACACACATTTGCTGCTATGGAAGGATGGGGAACTTAGATACATCCTGTGCATATTTCCAAATATTGCCTATTCTTTATTATTTTCATTCAAAAGCAGAAAAAGACATAATAAACTACTCTGGTTTCTAATTGAAATTAATGAAGATGAAGCACTATATAATTAATTTGACATTTGTTTAAACTTGATTTTCAAGAGAAATTAAATCCTGTGAGTCCAAATTATTACTAAAGTAGGGTACTATAATATAATTAATATGACTTTTTTTTATAATTGTTGATCTTACTGCATGACAAGAAAGAAGAATAAGAAAAATGATTCACTTTTGTACAAGTGAAATTTAATATTATTTTACATGGTTAACACAAAATGTCAAATTGTTTAAAATAAACATCATATTATAAGATATTTTTAAACAACAATGAGCATACAAAAAGGCTTCTTTCATAAAAAGAAAATATATACAGTAAAATAGAAAAATATTAAAATATGTTACCAATAAATATATTCTTCTAATACATGAGTTGTGCTCATGTTATTAACATATAAATACACATATAATTGACACAAAACAATATTTTACATACATAGAGCTAGCCATATATTTTGTATAAGTTTCAAAGTAAAGTACTCCTATACACAAATAAGAGAATTAGCAGTAATTATTTTTGTGGATGAATGTTAGCCACCATGCATAAAAGACTTTAACATGTGCATAAGCATGAATCAAGCCATTGTGCCTTGGTAAATTAACTTGTAATCTAACAATTGACAAGGTATTTTTTTATATTCTGAGCCTGTCAAATTTGCATTTACCATCCTTCTAATTATGAAAACACCAAAGTAAAATCCAATTAGAAAATTAGATCACAAGAAAAATTGTAATGGAATATTGTTGACCCACAGCTTATGATATTTTGTAGTTATGGTAATGAAAATTAAGTCAAACAACTAGTATTAAAATCTTAGGAAATTTAACTGGAGAGTGAAAGAAAAATCTTTTCAAAATTCACCTCACTCCTATGTAAAGGATTTAATCAAAAGCATGAAAATAGCTTTTGAGTCATAAAGAAAGTATGCCTTTATGTGCCCCATTTCTATGAAGATACATTGCATAGATCAATTATGTTAATTTAATCTTTTATAAGCAAAACAGAGATTTTCCTTGTCATAAATGTATTAGCTTTTATTTACTTTATAACATGTTAAATTGTCCTAAAAGACCCATTATCCTCTTGTACATATTGGCCAAGGTGGACAATGAAATCTCATGCAATTACAAGTATGTCCTTTGTAGGCACGGATTTCCACAATCTGGAGTGAGACTCAGGATGATGTACACTAGTGCTTGATTTGTGAATATTATGAAGCATAGGAAAGGGGAGTAACAAGGACATCATTCAGTGTGAAGTGGAACAGTCTACTTCTGGCATGCAAGGTGCAAGCATCTGCAAGAACATAGGAGATGACTTTGTAATCTTACTTGAAGGAAAACATGATCCCGGGGACCAATCAATTCTCTTAGGAAACATTCTACCTAGATGTTAAATGTGCTCATATTGGATATGTCAATTTAAAGTTAAATGTCTTAATATATCCTTAATATGGAATGGCATTTCACACTTGACCATTTCCCCTTTTCCATTGTCTCTGAACTGATGACTTTCCCATAAAGAAGTATCAGCAAAGACACAGTAATGCCACCTACACAATAATTCATCCTCACTCCTATGTTTATTTTTATCAATTTCCCATCCATTGTCTCCAACCTGATCCATGAATATATTTTCCCCTTTTCCCTTGTTATGTTCATAACTGAGGATGGGCTGTATTTTTTGACGTCTGATTCTTACTTTGTGGGTTCCTACAGCTATGTGAATATTTGCACAGTTTAAAATACACCTGACTGATTTTATAAACTAGCATACATGATTAATTTTATTTATTAGGATCAAAGAAAATCAAGTAGACTTTTCTGATATTATTCCTTAATCTTACAGACTTGAGAATGCCCAGAAACACCCCTTACAGTCTACCATGACAATCAATGTGGGCAGATGAACACATTTATAACAATGAGAAAATGCATGCTGGAAACATGAAACAAGCATGTAAACATAGTTAAATGAACTGAGAATAAAAGTGTTAGAAAACAAACACATACAAAAACATCAGATAAAGCAGAGATTGGGACCCAATTTGCAAATCCAACATTTTCTGCTCCCAAATCTACATTAGCTAATAAAGACTATGTGTCATTCCCAGCTCACATAAGAAAATTGCTGGTCACTAGTTTCAGTGGCATCATTCTTTCCTCACAGAAGCATAGCCATACTTCTAGAATTTACTCAAATACTTCATCAATCTTATTTGTGTAATTATTATCATGCAGATCTAAAATTGAAAGCATGCATATCCCAAGGAGTTACAGGCATGGCAGAAAAGATGGGGAAATTCTCAGTATCAAATATAGAAAATAAAATGAATTAACCTCAAATTCATTCTTCTCATTTGATAGAAGTAAGCAAGTCAATAATAAGTAAAAAAAATCACTAATTATATTCTTTAATTTAATAAGACTATATTGCAGAAGACATCTAGGAATGAAAAAGAAAGAAAACCATAATGAGTTAAAGAAGGAATAATGATGTTTTAATCTATATTTTCCACTGAATATATCAATGCTAATTTAGAAAAGGAATAAATGGAGAATGCAACTTACTGGATCATAAAATCTCTGACAAATTTTTGCATACTCCAATCAGCTGTTTTGTTGAGTGGGTAGATGGAATAAGCAGGAAAAAAACCAGCAATCACCACATTTCCTTCATGATACAAATGGTAATTGATTCTGACTAAGCAGTCACTGCTGCTTTGTGAGGACACAAGAAAGGGAATCTTCAGAAAGCAGGAGATAAAAATCCAAGAGAACATATTAACACCCCTGTGAAGGTTGATTATATATATATATATATATATATATATATAGTTTGTGTATAATTTTATTGATGACTGAAGTAATTACTCAAATCATCTAATTTCTTTCTGATATGACTTGTCACTCCCAGTGGAATTTTGAAACATTTTCTTCCTGTAGGCTCTACCATTAGCCCTGGATTCAAAGTTACAAATAAGCTGAAAAACATGTTTGTAGATCTCCACAGGGAGCATGATTAAATCCAAGATCACAGAGAACTAGTCTGGAGGAATGAAATCCTCTTAGTGGATTTGGCCATAAGTGTGGACCAAGAAACTGCTTCTGCAAAAGCCGTTTAGGATAATGCAAACATGTTACATCAGAAGATGCAGTCCTAGGTGAAGTGAGGAAAGACTCATGCCACTCATGGCCACATCATGCTAGCAGAGCACCACACTGCCTAGACTGGAAGATTGTCAATGTTAGTTTTACTTGCCAGGGTTTTCCCAAGTCAAGAATATTTCTTTTTCTATATAGGCATACCAATATAATCAATATTATGTCTATACTAAAGGTTTATGTCTTCTTTTGGTCCTGCTGAATTCAATGCCAAATTAGCAATGTTATTTCAATACAGAAGTTACCTTTTATGTTTGCCTCTGAACTTTGATGTTTTGTAATATTCTTTTATCTATGAAAAATATCTGAATAGATATAAAGTCATGATATTTTCCTAGATTAAAACATCACTTTCACCCATTACTTACTTTTTTCTGAGAACATGGTGATAGTTAGAAATATAACCACTGATACATATAACAGATATAACATATATTTATGTGTTCCCATCAACTAACACACTGAGGAAAGAGATCAGAAGAAAGGCAGTGTTTTCAAAAGCATAGGGATGAGCTATATCAAGAACTCTACTATGTGTGACTCTGTAGCCATGACACATGTAGTGTAAATGTGCCCACAATGCACAACATAAAAAGTCAATCATTGTGAAAATGATGTCCCCTACTTAATAGTGGTGAATCAATATCACTTTGTCCATTTGACACATGCTCTGATAAGGTTATGTGTCAGTACAGTGGGAAGTTTAAGATAGTGTTGGTATGGGATACATGTTAATTATTAGTAATTTTTAATCAAATGTTTTTTTTGAGGCAGATAGGGTTCTGAAAACACAACCTTCTTGCTTAAGAAGAAACATATTCTAAGTGGTGAATATTTGAAATGTAGATAATCTTTAAAAAGTAAATAACTGGTGTGAGCAGAAATTACAAGAGGAGTTGAAAAGATTTATAGGAAAATAAATGTTTATACATCAACCACAATTTCACTTCTGTTCCATGGTTTGATGCTAAGACACTAGATCTCATTGTTTAATTAACCCATACAACAAAGATGATCGATAAAATTGTTCCCAATAAACAATGGAATATGCCCCCCAAATATTTCATTGAGTACATATGAGAAGAGTTTTCTCCCTTCTGAAAACAACTAATTTACTGAGTACATCCAATGCCCTGTATCTTCATCAAGATTATTGGTGCCTCTTCTTTCCTTGTTGACTCTACGAAACCTCTAATCCCTGATACCTATAATTCCAATTTAGAAATAGTCACTTGAAATATAATCAAGTAAGATAAGTCAATTGTGCTAGAGCCCAAGATGAATGGAATACTGTATGTTGAGAACAGCCCATGTTGTGGCCAACATAATGGATAAAGTGCTCCAGCAACCATACAAGGAGATGCCAAGTGATTAGTCATTCTTGAGACATTTCAGAGTGTAAATGGCTCCATAATCTGTCATCACTGAATTTCTGTTTTAGAATGTCTGGTGTTTTAAGGTACACATTTTTGATTGTTTGTTATGACAATGCTAACCCAAACCATTAAGTATATAGATGAGTGGCATGTAGGACACATTTAGGAATAATATGATCTCCCATAGTCTACATGAAACATAGAATTACTTCCGTATAATCTACATGTATTTTTTGGTTTTGTTTTCATTTCCTAGTTTGTGTCTGAAACTGGTTATTTCATATTAGCCCTGAAAATGTCAATGGGTGTAGCTTCTCACTTGAATAGGATATAAAAGATCACAGAAAATTCCCCATCCTCTTGTTTGCATAGTCTTTTTGATCCCTCTTCTTTTTTGCATTTTTATTTATTGATTTCATTTTACATTCCAACCACACTTCTCCCTTCCATCCCTCTACCCACCCTACCTTGCCTCCTACTGCTCTCCCTCACCTCCTACTAGCTCACCTCCAGTCCACTCTTTATTACGGGTAAGGTCTCCAATGAGGTGTCAACATAGTTTTGGCACAATAGGTTGGGGCAGGGCTAGGGCCAGACCCCTCTCCCATGCATTAAGATTGAGCATGGTATCCCACCATAGGGAATGGGCTTCAGCAAGCTACCTCATGTACTAGAATTATATCATGGCCCTACTGCCACTGAACATGGCATCTCACCCTAAGGAATGCACTCTAACAAGCTAGCTCAAGTACCAGGTTTGTATTGTGGTTCTACTGTCAGGTGCCCCTCTCATAGTTCAAGCTCCACAACTGTCTCCCATATATGGTGGGCCTAGTTTTGTCCCCTGGAGTATCCACAGTTGTAGGTCTAGAGTTCATGAGTTTCCATAAGCTTGGTTCAGCTGTCTCTGTAGATTTCTCCGTCATGATCTTGACCTCCCTTGCACATATATTCCATTCCCTCCTCCCTCCTGGCCTGGTTCTTGGTTATGAATCTCTTTGTTTGGCCTGTCAATTACTGGATGAGGACTCTATGATGATAGTTGGGGTATTTAGCAATCTGGTTACAGGGGTAGGTTAGTTCAGGCATTCTCTCTACTATTGCTAGGAGTCTTAGCTGGGATCCTTCTTATGGATCTTGGGAGTTACCCTAGCACAGGTTTCTCCCTAAGCCCATAGTGTCTCTCTCTATTAAGCTATTTCTCTCATTGCTCTTCAACCTTATTCTTCCCACCTAGGCCATCTTATTCTCTCCTGTTCTGGTCTCTCCTTCCCTCTCCCTTACCACACCCTACTGCAGTTTGCCCCATAGATATCATTCCCTTCCCAAGGTGATCCATATATCTCTCTTAGGGTCCTCCTTGTTCCCTGGCTTCTCTGGAGCTGTGGGTTTTAGCCTGGTTATCCTTTGCTTTACATCTAATATCCACTTATGAGTGAATACATACTATGTTTATCTTTCTTAGCCTGTGTTACTTCACTCAGGATGCTTTTTTTTTCTTGTTCTGTCCATTTGCCTGAAAATTTCACAAGGCCATCATTTATTTTTACCACTGACTAGTACTCCATTGTGCAAATGTACCACGTTTTGCTTGTCCACTCTTCTGTTCAGGCTATTATGAATAATGCTGGTATGAATATTGTTGAGCAAATGTCCTCTGGTATGATTGAGCATCCTTTGGGTACATGCCTAGGAGTGGTATCACTGAGTCTTGACACAGATTGATTCTGTATTTTCTTAGAAAACACCACACTGATTTCAAAAGTGGTTGTACAGGTTTGCATTCCCACTAGCAGTAGAGGAGTGTTTCTCTTACTCCATCCACATCCTCTCCAACATAAACTGTCCACAGTATTTTTGATCTGAGCCATTCTGACGGGTGTAAGATGGTATCTCAGAGTCATTTTGATTTGCATTTCTCTGATGATTAAGGATGATTAAAGATGTTGAGCACTTCCTTAAATGTCTTTTGACCATTTGAAATACTTTTGGTGAGAATTTTCTGTTTAGCACTGTGCCCCATTTTTCAATTGAGTTATTTTGTCTAGTTTCTTCAGTTCTTTATAAATTTTGGAGATCAATCCTCTGTCAGATGTGTGGTTGGGGAGATCTTTTTGCATTCTGCATGCTGTCATTTTGTCTTATTGACATTGTCCTTTGCCTTACAGAAGATTTCAGTTCTAGGAGATCCCATTTATTGATTGTTGCTTTCAATGTCTGTGTTACTGTGTTATACTTAGGAAGTGGTCTTCTGTGCCAATGCATTACATGCTACTTCCCACTTTCTCTTCTATCAGGTTCATTGTAGCTGGATTTATGTTGAGGTCCTTGATCCTCCTGGATTTGATGGTGATAGACATGGGCTTATTTTCCAATTTCTGCATGTTAATATTCAGTTATTCCATTAGCATTTTAGATATATTACCTATTTTTTATTTTATGTATCAATCACAGTTCCCTCTCCCTCCTCCCTCCCATGCCCCCTGACCCCCTTCCATCCCTTTTCCACCTCCACTCCACAGGGAGGGTGATGCTCCAAGGAGGAATCAATAAAATCTGTTAAGTCATTTGGAGTAGGGTCTAGGATTTCTTTTCTGTCTCTAGGTTAAGGGAGCATCCCTCCATGGGGAATGTGCTCAAAGTCCTTTCATGAACTAGGGATACATGCTGGTTCCATTGTCAGAGGTCCCTTAGACTGCCCAGGCCTTCTAACTGAGACCATGTTCAGGGGTCTGAGTTGGTATAATGCTGGTTTCCCAGCTATCAGTCTGGATGTCCATGAGCTCCCCCCTTGTTCAGGTCAGCTGTCTCTGTGGGTTTCTGTAGCCTGGTCTTGACTCCAATTTCTTATCATTCCTCCCTCTCTGCAACTGGATTGCAGGAGTTTGGCTCAGTATTCAGAGGTGAGTGTCTGCTTCTTTTTCCATCAGCTACTAGATGAGGGCTCTATAATGGCATATGAGTATGAGCGAGTTAACAATCTCATAATTAGGGAAGGGTATATAAGGTAGCTTTCCACTGTTGCTCAGATTGTTAGTTGGGGTCATCCTTGTAGCTCTCTGGACATCCACTAATGGCTTTCTTTATTATGGGATCTTTTTTTTCTCCTCTCCTCTATTCATCCCCAGACTCAATATTCCTGGTCCAACATGTTATTGCAAAAATGCAAGAAATGAAGAAATCTCTTAAAGAAAGTAAGGAAAGTCAAGAAAAAACAAGCAAAGAGATGAAGGAAACAATTA